ATGGCGCGCCCACCTGGCACTGCCACGGACAGCAAGGACCAGGGCGAACAGCGGATGCCCGTGACCCGCTTAATGGGGGGGTGGTGCCAGGGCATACGAGTGGCAACGACGGCAAACAAAAAAACGAATGCAATGCGCTACGCGCGCAATACACATGCAGTCCACATGCAAGACACATGATATCAACATGCGTCACACATGCAATCCACGTGCAATACACATACAATGCAAGTACACAGCCAATTCAGTTTAACCACGATGCGAAAGCTATACACGTACAATACAGCAACTATAGGTTTTCACCGGACGCAGATGACGCTTAGAACTATTAGGTTCCTGACATAACCATCGTAATCCATGATACGACCCTATTGCAAATCTGATTCAGTCCGGCACGCATGTGACTGTGGAGCCGGGTCTCCTTGGGGGAATCTTCGAGGTTTGCTCTTGTATCCGCAGGACTCCTTCGGGAATCTTCCAGATTCTTCAGAATCCCGCGGGTTCCTTTCAGGGTTATTCAGGATGATTCAGGACTCTTCAAGACTCCCTCGGAATTCCGTTGGATTCCTCATATTCCTATTTTTGGATTCCGCAGAACCAGCTAGGATTTTGCAGGATTGATTCCTTAGAGTTCCTCAGGCGCCCGTAGAATTCCCGAAAGATCCCGTAGGACTCCCCATATTCCCGACAGATCTTCCCGTTTCCGTGTGGATTCTTCATGATTTTTTGGGATCTTTGATGCTTTTAAGACCGTCAGGATCGCCAGGCTTCTTGAAGGGTGTGAAGGTGGACGGGCGACACGAGGGATTGTAGAAACTGAGGGACTCGTAGGAATCTTGAAGAATCTTGAGGAATCGTGTGGAATCGGAACGAAGCTCGAAGTTTTTTATCTATAAAAATTTCGTTGTTAAAAAAAGTAATGATTTCAACATATATATAGTACAGAATGTAGAAGAATATGTTTATATCAGTTTTTTTTTAATATACGAAGCAATGTATTAGTAGCCCCATAGGAAACTCCACCGAAGGCCCCAGTGGGGGTGCCCGCATGCGGTTCCCCCACCCAGGGCAGCGTTTCGCAGCCCCATAGGGAGCTCCACCGAAGGCCCCAGTGGGGGTGCCCGCGTGCGGTTCCCCCATCCAGGGCAGCGCTTCGTGGCCCCATAGGGAGCTCCACCGTAGGCCCCAGTGGGGGTGCCCGCATGCGGTTCCCCCACCCAGGGCAGCGTTTCGTAACCCCATAGGGAGCTCCACCGTAGGCCATGCGGTTCCCCCAACCAGGGCAGCGTTTCGTAGCCCCATGGGGAGCCCCACCGAAGGCCCCAGTGGGGGTGCCCGCATGCGGTTCCCCCACCCAGGGCAGCGCTTCGTAGCCCCATAGGGAGCTCCACCGTAGGCCCCAGTGGGGGTGCCCGCATGCGGTTTTCCCACCCAGGGCAACGTTTCGTAGCCCCATAGGGAGCTCCACCGTAGGCCCCAGTGGGGGTGCCCGCATGCGGTTCCCCCACCCAGGGCAGCGTTTCGTGGCCCCATAGGGAGCTCCACCGAAGGCCCCAGTGGGGGTGCCCGCATGCGGTTCCTCACCCAGGGCAGCGTTTCGTAACCCCATAGGGCACTCCACCGAAAGGCCCCATGGGGGTGCCCGCATGCGGTTCCCCCAACCCAGGGCAGCGTTTCGTAGCCCCATAAGGAGCTCCACCGAAGCCCCCAGTGGGGGTGCCCGCATGCGGTTCCCCCACCCAGGGCAGCGTTTCGTGGTCCCATAGGGAACTGCACCGAAGGCCCCAGTGGGGGTGCCCGCACGCGGTTCCCCCACCCAGGGCAGCGTTTGGTAGCCCCATCGGGAGCTCCACCGAAGGCCCCAGTGGGGGTGTTCGCATGCGTCTCCCTTGCCCGCAGGTAGCGCCACCGAAAGCGATATTCATATTTGCGGTATTCACAACTGCATATGGTTGGGTCCTTCGCCAGGTTATTTTTTTGGTCGACGCTCCTCCTGTAGGGGGACACGCCCGGCATACAATTACGTTTCGTCGTGATGCCCGCTTAACGCATCCTAATAGTCTCTTGGTACACACTAGCCCGAAACGTGGCCCTGTGTCCCCGCCCGAAGGTGATTGGGAGCCCTTATGTTAGTACTACCACCACTACTATTGGTGCTGCTTCCATGATTCTGAATACCGCTTCTATTACTATTTCGCCTACTTTTGGTTCTATTGCATTACTACTACAACTACGACTACCACTACTCCTTCTACTACTACCATGACTCGTATTACTATTATTTTTCCTTCTTCTACAGCTGCTGCTGCTACTACTACTACTACTACTACCATGGCTACTACTACTATTATTGCTACTACTGCTCGTACCAGTGGTATTAGTAATCGTAGTCGTAGTGATAGCAGTGGTAGTAGTAGGAGTAGTAGTGCTAGTAGTCGTAGTACGGGTAGTAGTAGTAGTAGTAGTAGTAGTAGTAGTAGTAGTAGTAGTAGTAGTAGTA